TGACATATCGTGTCAACAGACTTTGTCGACAGATCCTGAGCTTAATGCGGACACAGATGGCTATGGTTCTGCTACCAGAATCTGTTCGAATTTGCTGCCAATCTGCATGCAGACTGTGCGCAGTTTGCTATCTGGGTATATATGCTTTTTTATCTAACTAATGTGTGTAATAATGTTTTTATATATGTATATTTATTTGTATTACAAATTTTTTATATACTATAAATCATTGGTTGTGGAACATTGAGTTTTATATATATATATGTAGGTATATATATATATATATATACACACACATATATTGAAATCATTTTCATATAAATTTACATAGTGTTTAATACAGAAATGCAATTAATGCGACCCGGTCACGCCAAGTTTTTTCTTCATTATAATTCAGTTTATCACTTTTCCATTTTTTTAATTTTTGAATGTTTTTCACAAATAAGCTTTTTTGAGGCCTTTTTAAAATAATGAAGCTAGTTTAATAACTTTGCCATAATTTTATTGATTTCACGTCTATTTTTGATCAATCAATTTTTAAATAATTGTATAATTTAAATCATTAAAGAAAAATTGTTCTTAGAAAGAATGTAATATGCGACGTTTTTTATGTATTTGGCGTATTTTTTTTTTTAAGATTTTTTGGGTATGTATTTATATTACACATGTATTTATACATGAAAAACCGGGGCGTATAAGTAACATATAAATGTAATAATACAGAATCACAAAAGCGTAAAAATCAATAAATATAGAAAGAAAAAGAAAAAGATAATATAGAAAAAGAAAGAAAAAGATAATAAAATTATCAAGCTAAGTTTAACGAAAGACTCACCCAATTCGTATCTCAAAGAATGTAATGTACTTGCTGAGAAGAGGCAGATTATGCAGCCACGTGGCAGAGATCAAAATGGAAGATTTCGAAGTCTTCTACGCAGCAAGGATCCCGTTCTGAACAATAAAATGGCCGAAAAAGGCAGCGATTAAAAAAAAATGATCAGATTGCGCCGATTTCACCGGCACAATGTAAGGTTTCAGTGTAAACGAGATCACGAATTTCCAAAATTCAAAGTGGTAATTAGTAGCAACTAATATCTTGTAAGAGCAACTGTACAAGGATTGAAATCGGTTATAAGCGATTAAAGCGATTCGACCGATCAGAACAACGGCTGAGAACAGAATCCCCGCAGTCCGTACGCGGCACGATCTGCACATTTACTAACACAGTAACAACGCACACGGCGCACACGCCGTACACTTTTTCTTTAGGCAAAAGGCCTTAGCAGTCTTAGCACAGACTTTTGCATGACGCATAA